CTAGTGGTGATTGGTCAGTGATGCTGTGGTTGAAGATCTTGACCACTTGGTAAATTGTCTTTGCCTGCAAAGAATATTGTTGATACAAATTGCCTACAAGCGCTTCTCACAGCTCACCCCTGTCCTTGCAAACCTGTCCATGAAATCCGCGTCGAGTTGCGAAAAAGCTATGTAATCCTGGTGTGTTGGGGAACAGAACTTCCATTGAGCGTTGTCGTACCTGCCCGGTCGAAGCCCTTGTTGACAGTTAAGTGGATGGCCATTTATCGCCAGTGACAACTCCGTATGCGAGTTCTTAGAATGGCACAAGTCGCAGTAAATGCTAGAAACGAAATTTAGACGACGTACGAATGACCTTCTGAAACATCAATTCAGAACTGATCATTTCGTTTTCGCGAGATGCCGGAGAATAGCTTATCAGAAAGTAATTTGAGCAAATGTGAGATCACTCGCTTAAGTAGTATACAATCTATGACAAATTGGCTCAAGCATAGTCCCCAGAAATGGCTTGCTGCTGCAGTTGGAGTAACAGTTTCAGTTTAATTTAGTTTTGCATAATTTCTCACATAACCGACCAAAATGCTCATGCTTCGAGTTGAGTCGATGTGAGTGAAAACAAGCTAAATACTTGAGTTGTAGTTTCGCACTGCTCCACAGTTCCACTTTGCACCCACTTTCTGCAAACGAAATGTTGGAGAGCTGAAGAGCATGGAATGAACTATCCTTCTGTAGAAAACATATCATGAACAAGGTCGTTGAGGATATTAAATTGTGAAACGATGCACAGCAAATAAACTTGTAGCAACATTTATTTCACTCTTAGATAGCCGACAGTCGCTTTGTTCATACAGATAATTGCAGCAAAAATGAAATAGATTAAATAACCTGAAGGATGTAAAAACTATTTGGGACCTACGCTTTTGGGAGCTTACGTAGTGCTGGTCATGAGCATGCATCAGCGATTTAAAGCGGTGCAGAACTTTCCAGCGGGGATACGTAGGAATGAGGCAGTGGTCACTCACGGACATGTCAGTCAACCATTTCAACTCTTTCTCAGTAGCGACGACAAAGCAACTTTTACGATCCGGTACTGCGCACGACATCGAAATCTTTTCCACCACCGTTACTTAGTCCTGACAATCTTTGTACTCGCAGGAAATCAAATGCCTACAGTACTGAAATTGAGTTTACAGAGTTAAAGTATCATCCGACGAAGATACCAATCAGCAACGGAGCCGTTAAACGTTTTGAAAGGAGGAGGCTGACAACGGGATGCCATTATAACACGCCAGATAAGGCTCCACTGGAATGAAATCGACATTCGGAGCTTACAATCAGAAATTCGAGCGTATCCTCACTCAGACGGAAAGAACAGGAGCTAACTGATGAGGCCGATAGGTACCAACTTGACAGAGTTGGAATGTCGTCAGCGAGGCGCCAAGGCTCCGGAATTCTGAACCTCTGCAAGTGGAGTATATTTTACTCATCGACAACACGAAGTGCGCTGAGGCTGGTGCGGATGTTCTAACGGAACCCAACTTAGCTGACAGAATCACTGAATGAAAGCCCTTCAGCAGAAGAGTGGCAATCCTCTGGCCGAGACTGCAGCAGGCTAAAGCGTTGATCTTTTCACAGGCCTATGCGTCCAATCTGGAGGGAGAATATGAGGTTATCCTTGAGGAAGTGGAACGCGCTCTATGCGAAGTGCTGACTACGGAGTATCTCATTT